TTTTTTTTTTTTTTTTTTTTGCCTCTATACGTAATCGATTCCATTTGGGAATCGCCTCCCGAAGGCACCTGGGCGCAACAATTTTTTTTTGCCTTTGGGAGGCGATTTCCAAATGAAATCGATTACGTAATCGATTCCATTTGGGAATCGCCTCCCAGAGCCACCTGGGCACGACAGTCAATTGTGCCTAGGTGGCTTAAGGAGGCGATTCCTAAATGGAATCAATTATGTAATCGATTCCATACTGAGGCCCCTCCTCCGTCGTGACAACCACTAGGGGATCCAAATGGAGCAGACGCGGAACTGCCCCGTCGCCCACGTTTGCGGCACTTAATTGAAAAGGGTCTTCACCACGGGCCGCTCCCTTTGGGGGACAAGGTCTTGGCGATCCCATTAAACCACCAGTACCCATGAGCCTACTTTCGACAAGTCGTGGCCAGCACCCGAACTTTCGGGAAGGCCGAGCCTGCCGTTGATAAATCTGATCGGCGACCGTCATTTTGTTTCGGCCTCCTGAAAGGTCGGAGGCCGAGTATTTTCGAACCGTCAAAGGTAAATAATCGATGGGAAATAGGCCTTTCGTTGGCGGAGGAGAACGACTACGCGTTATGTAGGGGGGCGCTCACGCTACATGGCTGGAAATTGCGGCAGGACGCGTAAGGGCAGTGTACCTTCAGGCTCAAGGATGCGAAGGAATTCATCACAAAGCACTATGAGGTGGGGGCAAAGGCCATGATACGAGTGGGATCCGACTCTTGTAGAATTGTTGATAACGACTTATACATTTTTTTTGACGAAAAGGAGGCAGATTTGACTTGGGTAGCACACAATGCTCTGTTAGAACTACTACACCTCAAGGTCAAGCCCAGTCATGCCTGGTCGAATATGGATATCATTACTGCCCTATGCTCCATAATCTGGAAAAATGTTATCAACGAAGGGGTGGCATGGGATTATCACTCGTGGCACCACCTGTAGGACTAGCAACAAGGGAACACCGATGATGTAAGCAAAATGGATTGGGTTGAAGCAGTATATGGTTGAAATAAGGCCTGGCACAAGACCCTCTGTAACGCAGACCTAGATTTCAGGTCCATTAATGTCAATGGTCTGGCCACGCTTTGCCCGGACAAGGCCTAGGCTATAAGGGATCTCCTCCAGGGTGTGGAAGGACGAAGCTGGCCGGATGTGGTTTGTGTCCAAAAAACGCATTTAATAGACTCTCCCGCCCACAACAGGGCACACACGACAGTCTGGCCATACCAAGCCTATATGGGTCCCCCCGGACTCCCGCCTTGGGGTTTTATACTGGGAAAGGGACATGGAGGAGGGTCCTTTGGGTCTCTGTACTTGCGGCTTTGGAACTAGAGGTTATTTGCACCTTCTGCATCTAGGCCCCAAATGCTGCATTGGAGTGTGATGCATTCTTCTGAAAAATTCAGACCGAAATGCCAGAAGGCATACCCATCGTTCTCGCAGGAGATTTTAACGCAGCCCCCGATCGATGGCTAGATCGCTGGTAGGTCCTCCCTTACACCATGCGTCTGACAAAAGAAGACAAGGGCGTGCTCAACCGATTGTGTAGCTCTCTTTCCCTCTTCAACGCATTTCGCCGCTCCTTCCCTACAAAGCGGACTTTCACATGCATCCGCAATAAAGACCCGACTAGGCTCTCCGAGTCAAGGATCGATCTCATTCTTATCTCAGAGGACCTAGCGGACAGTCTAACACTTGCAACGATTCTCCCCTCTAGCCCTTATCCTGGACTGGAACACAAGATATGCATGATGGCGTTAACCTTTCGAAAAAGTCAGGCCAGGGCCCGGACTTCAACAAACTGAACACCTCTTTGCTTCGCCTCAAATCGTTTCAGCAATACTTAACCCAGGTTTAGGAATACTGGAAGGAACGTTACCTAGATGTAGACTCCCCCCTGGCATGGTTCAATAATGGTTTGTTTTTTCTGGTCAAAAAATGCAATGAGTTCTCTAAGCAATTAACCCAACAATGTAACCGGCACGAAATCGACCTGCTAAACCAACTCCGAGAGCTAGAACAATAGCCAATACCACGTAACCCAGATCATCACGTGCCCAACGTTCAGGCAGTGAAAACCCGATAAGTCCAACAAGCTCAACATCGATGGCAAGGTGTTCGTATTCGCGCCGAACTTTCACAACCTAAATTTGAAGGATCAATGGACACAAAATTTTTCGGCCTTGCCCGGGCCAGAGCAATACGCACTGTTGTGGAAGCACTATATGGTCCCGGTGGGTCCGAAGCCCACCCTATCACCACAACTGCAGGCTGTTTCAAAATTACTCGGTGTTTTTTAAGGATCTCCTTGCAACCCATATCCCTTGTGATCAGGTTCAAGGAGGCAGACTGGGCGGCTGGATGTGATACAAACGAACAGTTTTTTGTACATCAAGTGATCCACTTGTTGCCCCAAGGAGCAACTGTTTGCATAACACCAACAGACAGGGATCTTACTATTTATGTGGCTCCTTCAAATAGGGTGGTCTTTTTCCCTCTCGCCCACATGTATCGCACCAGAGTTTTTTTTGTCTCCTCTATCAAAGGTTGGCGTGCCTTCCATCCTGAAATACCTATCCCAGAACTCCACTCTGACCCTGCAGAGTGGATATGGCATACAAGCAAAAAGTGGAAACCTCGTGTGCTACAATCTCTCACAATAAATGCATCCTAAAGGCTTCTAAGGCCAAGGGTGGATATATCAACAATTCTACAAGAACGATGGGCACGACAATTGAATGTTGACTCACAACTTCTTAGGAATGTCAATTTTTTTTAAGTACGACAAACAACGCCCTGCCAAGTTTGCATCCCTCCAGTGGCAGATTGCTCATCGCTGCCTACCAACAAATGATTGGCTAGTTGGCCATTCATCACTGGAACAGCGAGGTTTGGCCACTCCTTGGTGTCCTTTTTGCTTGTCAACCTTTCCCTCAAAGAAAATCCGGGAAACCATCGAACATATTTTTTTGCAATGTCCAGGCTCGGTCCTCTTATGGAGAACATGGGACTGCATCTGGAGAAGTCTAACGGGTGAGGACTGGCCTTGGGATTGGAGGGCAATGATATTGGGTCGATGGGATCCTCTCGATTTCTCTCTTTCAAATTTTCAGAGTAATCTTTTCGAAATTGGTCGCAAAACGATCTTATGGACCATATGGTATAGACGTTGTGCAGAGTAAGAGGAGTCTGTTTGGAAGGTCTAGAGGTTGCTGAACTTATTGTCCAATTCATACAAACAGAAATCAGGGCTCACTGGTCGACCCTTAAAACCACATTAAGGTTCTTTCACCAAACAAAAGGTATTCTACAACATAGGGGCGGAAGAAACAGCGGGTCATCTTCAACGGGACTTCCAGCTTGTTTTTCGTAACTGATTTACGCTTCAGCTCGGAGACTCCCTCAGTCCTCCGGATTCTTTCCCAGATTTCTTTCCTCCTTCGGAGCTCTCCCTGGTTGATTTGCAATGGTATGGCTCAAGGGAGGGGTAAGATGATGCTAAGATCTAATATATTTTGGATGGGTAGGGAGCTTGGTTGACAAATGGCATCTGCCGGACCCTCTGGGACTGAAGAGGCTCTCCTATCCTTTTGATCATACATTCATTGCAATGTACTTTTGGGGACGCTGGACCCATTTTCCAGCAGGTGCAGCTCCCCACCAATAGAAAGGAGCCATCGCACGGCTATGGTACCTGATGATGCTCGTATCATCTCAGGTAACAGTCCCAGCGGATGTTATTAAGAAAAAAAAAAAAAAAAAAAAAAAAAACATGACAAACAATACCATGCACACACGTGGGCATTCCTTAGGTGCACGACACTTACCTGCGATGAAGTATAACTCTCCCCCTTCCTCATACAATTCTCCTGACCCAATGAGCAACCTCTACACTAGTGTCCTATCTAGGAGGGTCTAAGCTACACCAAAGTATAACGCCGTATCCCCCTCCGATGTTGAAGACCAAAGAAGCACCAAAGAAGCAACTTGCAGTCCTTCGATGCAGATATGGCTCCCACCTTCAAGCTCGCCAACCGGAGGGGAGCCCTTAAGTCGCCCAATGTCTCCCTTAGGTCCAGATTCCAGGTGTAGTTGCCTCTCACTGTCCCCTCTCACACATTGCATCACGAAGCTCCTCCAAGTGTCTCGCCACCCCAGACTTACACTCGTACAAACTGGACGGGTCCAATGTCGAGCCTGCATGATGCAGCCAGGTGGGGGAAGCTTTCCCATACCACGCTGCCCCATTTTTCTCACTAAACCAACCCTAACCCTAAGTGATGCCCTCAACCACTTCGTCTACGGTTGAGGCGGCGAAGTCAATTCTCACCAGCAAGTAGAATCCACTCTGATACCAATGTTCCTATCCTAACCAATTTTGAATTGCAAAGCACACAGGAAATACAATCTCGTCCAATTGCTACAGAAATGAATGAACTTGCAAGGAGAAATATATCAAAAAAGAAGAAGAAGAAGAAGAAGAAGAAGAAGAAGAAGAAGAAGAAGAAGAAGAACACCAGCAATGGACCAATGACAAATCCCCCTTCTTTCGCCACCCTTAATACTCTTGGGCGGTGGCTTTCAGGCCGTGCGGTCTCCAAGCAACCGGTACCTCGCCCTTTTCGAAGAGAAACATCATCGCAGACTCTGATATCATCCGTACCGGTCCTAGACTCAGGCTACTTGGATTGGTACTCGCCTAGACCTAGGGTTACCTGGATTGGTAACCGCCTAGACCTAGGCCTACCATTGCTGGGCCTCTGAAAGTACTAACTTCTTTTCTTCTTCTGCTCGGCCTACCGCTACTCGAGTGCTACCGAGACACTACACTATTCATGTGTGCCCTAAGCAAGCTACCCCTTCAACCACTCGAGTGTTTTTCCCCACTGCAACCCTCAAAGACACAGCCACAGGTCAGTAGCGGCCTCGCCGGCCTACCAAACACACGTGCCCTGGCGGGTCACGCACACACTGAGGCAGACGTGCACTCAAACAGGCACACGGACCAGCAAGCACGCACACACACACAGACTTAGAAAATTCAGCACAACACGGGAATCTCCGCAAGGCATACATTCCAGCAGCAAAACACAGAAATCAGCAGTGTTCTCTGACTTGTTTTTGCAGGTCTTTACATCTCAAGATATGCTCAACCAAAGTGCATCGCAGTTCCTGAATGGCATATCCAAGCAGGTCTGTGTCTGTCTGTCGTTCGGTCCATCGCTTTGTCAGTCGCTCCTTCCGTCTGGCCATACCTCTCTCTCTCTCTCTCTCTCTCTCTCTCTCTCTCTCTCTCACACACACACACACACACACACACACACACACACACACACACACACACACACACACACAAGACACAAGACAAACACCCATCACACACACACACACACACACACACATCGTCCGCACATCTGCGTATCTGTGAGTGTTTTGCTCATATAACATCTATGAGAAGTTGACAGTCTGCAGCTGATGTGAGAGGTTGTCCATTCGCCCGCGGATCATACAGGGTCGGTAGAAAGAGACATCCAACCTTCCCATGGGTGCAGAGAACTCACTGACTTCAATTTATGATTCATCACAAAGATGACTGCATCCATGAAGTTAAGAGGCCATGAAGTAGGGCCCAAAGAAAATTGAGAATCTAACAGACAAATCTAGAGGTTAGATTGCATGGACTGGCTGTTCACGGGGAGAACTTCGAATCCATTCTATCTCAACAGAACCAGGTTCCGCCAGAGTCACACCAGGATATAGAGGCATATCACATGGAAGATTAAGGAAGGCAGCAGGATACTCTCCGGTGTGATCGAGGTACTGCTTTACTGTTTTGGCAAAAGTCAGCGATCGCTTGGTCATGTCCAATATCACAACCATAGCTCCTCTGAACCGTTTGCCCTGATCCGAATCAAGAAATGTCTCTGTGCACTCTTTGTCATCATTGGTCTCAAGGTCACCGTATAAGAACCAAGAGTCTTCCTCTCAACGCCTGAACAACTTGGTACAACCTCCACGACCAAACAGTCGTCGGACCCTTCAACAGTGCAATCCCCCCTAACAGATGCATTCTGCCCATTCTCTCCCTCTGCAGTAACACTCCCGCTGCTGGATGCTGCAGAAAGAACAGCCTCTGCCACCATCGTCTCAGTTACATTCGGATGGAATTGCACATTCTCCAGGCAGTACTCAATGCTCTCTTTGCTCCACCCCTGGAACGACATTGAATCAAATACCAAAACTTTGTTCATTGCTTCGACTGAAGCCTTCAGCAATTCCTCGGCACGCCTTGGGATTGCCGCGTTTAGCAGATCTCCAAATTCACGTGCAGAAACAAGACTTGGGACCAATAGTGCAATCCTCTGGCATAAGAGATCCACCTGGTACTGTGCTGCCAGGGAGTACACTTCCACCATTTCGTCCCAGCACCTGTCGGTGTCTGATCGGAAATGCTGACCATGCAGGTACCTTATAACAACCTGAAGACAGTTGGCCCTGGCAGCAGGGAGAGGTACTGTGTTCATCGAACTCTCCTTCATATCGCCATAAAGCATTCTGGAAAAGTACTCACTCCCACAGGCCAATAATGCTCGATTTGCTCGCACCTCTCGGCCATCTCCGCATACAAACGTGACGTCAAGCAATTCCGGACGACTAAGAATGGCCCGGCCGCAGAACAAAACTGTTTGTCATGCTTTGCATCCTCCTCATTTCCCAATAGAGGCGACGCGGGACACATCACGACCCCTCTCTCACTCAGCTTCTGCTTCTTTGAGGGAATGCTTCCCAGATCAGACATTCTCTTGTAATCTGTGCAGAGCAGTCCAACAACACTTCAGGTACAGAGCTTCTATTGGATTATAGATACCAGATCTTCGTCCTCTGGAAAGATAGACAGCAACCTGCAAAAGACAACCAAACGAAAGACATGCCAACAACTCATTTGCACCAAACCACCACTACCGTTCTCATATGTGGGGCCGCGGGCCTCAAATTCAAATTTGGCCGTGATGCGCCGCCGTCAATGAAAAAATATCAGCGGCGGCGCCCTGGTTATTTTTCAGGAGTAGGCTACTAGATGCCTGCGGCCGACATATGGGAAAGATAGGGAAAGGTAGCAGTGTTTTTTTGTCTTTTTTGTTTGAACTTTAAACCCACGGAAGGAAAAGGAGGCAACTCAGCAAGGCTACCATAACCATTCCTTCTGACCGCTGATCATAACCATTCCTTTTGACCGCTGATTGCACTACATTCAAATGAATGAACGCCGTGTGTTGTGTTCCGGGGAACAGTGGCAAGTGTGGAAACACAACCGTGCCATCAGTGATGAAATGAAGCCCCCCACCACATGAAACACACAGTCATTATTTTATGACTGCAAGAGACCTCAAAAGTAGCTTGTATATTCATCACGACTGTATGAGACCGCAAAAGTATCTAGTAAACATTCATGATCAGGGTGCGTCGTATTCGAGGGAAGATGGCTGTAGGTTGTAGTTTCAGTGTGGAAACGGTTGTAGGTTGTAGTTTCAATGTGGAAACGGTTGTAGGCTAAACATTTCTGACCGCTGATTGCCCCTACATTCAAATGAACAGGGAGCCTTGTATTCGGTGGAATACTGGGAGGTTAAATAAGGTTGAAGTTGCAGTGTGGTAACGAACCCACCATGATCGGCGCCATCAGTGATTAAACCCCCCGCGCACAACGCACACTCGTTATTGCTGTATAAGACCGCAAAAGTGGCTAGTATACATTCATGATCAGGGTGGGTTGTAATCGGGGGAAGCCAGTTGTAGGTTGTAGTTTCATTGTGGAAACGAACTTATTATCCGTTATTATTGAACAGCATTCCCCCCCTCCCTACCCCCCCGACACACCCTCATCATCACTGTATGAGACGGGGAAGATAGCTACTATACATTCATGATTAAGGTGCGATGTATGCGGGAAGGAGGGGGAAGACGCTTGTATTTTGAAGTTTTAGGGTGATTTAACCTCTTTTTTGTCCTCCGTCAGATGTCAGACTGAGCGTTGCTGCCTCTACTACCCTTCTCCCCCGAGTGACTTCACCCGAATACAACGTCGTAACCATGCAAGGAATATGAGCGAGAGCGATGGACAAACCAAGTTGCAAAATCACGCAGAAGTTCAGATAGTCATGTAACAAGCAGAGAGCTCAGATAGTCATGTAACAAGCAGAGAGCTCAGATAGTCATGTAACAAGCAGAGAGCTCAAATGCACCAAGATTCCATCCAAATAAGAGCGATACAGTGAGCTCGTGAGCCAATGTCCAAGCCCTCAGGCCACACCAACGCAGTATTTAATGCCGCTCCTACTGTCTGGCGCCCGGCGCCCAGCCTACTCTACTCATCCTACCTAGCCTACCTACGTTCATGCAACAGGCTAACTTCGACAATGGAGACCAATGTACACAACGTTAACACCAATGCCGACCTCCCACATACACCAGGTACGTTCTCTCGACTCCCCTCATCGCCCCTTGACCACCCACACCTGCGCCTCCTTCCCGACGACCACCGTCGCCTCGACCTGCCCGCGCCCCCTCAGCCCGGCTATGGCCGCTTGGCGCCCCGCTGCCCTGCAGCGCCCCTCACCATCTAGCGCCCGCGCATGCCCCAACCAGCATTAGCGCAATGCAGACACTTGCGCTGTGCTACAGTTGAGGGCCTGGGCCCTTTACAGTTGGGCACAGCCTGAGTTTCCAGACTTGGGCCGTTTGCAGCATTTGCACAGGACCCGGGGTATGTACGTCGACAATGCTGCTTTTGCGTAGGCCTGTAGCCACTTCGTGATGTATCGGCCCTGCATTGTGTGTATGTGCCCAGGCGCAGCTACCTAGGCCTGGGCCAAACTGTACGACGCACGTTAGGGAGGCTCACGCTTCCATTCAACCGACTGGCATGCTGCAACAGCCTGAGTACCCACATATGAAAAATGTCAAATTTTGGCCTCTAGTGAATATTCAGGCCCGCCTTCACTTAGGTCGGGCACTTGGCTTGCTGAGGGCCTCTGCCCAGAACATGTGCATGTTTGACAAGGGCCCCACGAAGGCTCATTCCTCGCATTCCATCCCCCTTAGCTTTGAAAGTCCGCCGAGATGCTTCATGCTAGTGCCTTCCCCTTCAATTTTCTTTCAAACTCAGCCATTGTATGAGGAGCTCTCTTAACAAGTTCCTCTCTTGTGAACCATCGATCTTCCTTAGGATCCGTGTGATGCCTGAATCGTACCCCGTACACCCTCATAGGTTTAGGTGGTCTTCCTCGGCCAGCTGGCTTGGGAACAGGCATGCCTCTATGTTCCGGAATATCGTCAACGATCACGTGACTGTAATGAAACCTGCAGATTCTCGGTGGACTGTACAGTAGGCCGAGGGTGAAGCATGGGCCTCGCCTCAGTCGGGTCCTAGTTTAGGTCAGATTCGTAATGTTGTTTGGCTGAGGGCTAACCAAGAGACCTACCTGTAAGAAAATTCGTGAGGGACATATCTGCAAATCTGGGAAAATAAGGGCCCAGTACTAACCCGAATTCCTACAGCTACCCTTACTGCGTATAGCAGGCCCGGGCTACCCCTAGGACAGACAGGCCCTAACTGGCCTATATTGATAGACGGTCCTATAGCCTATAGCCGGGTCCGGTAGAGGCCGAGAGGCCGAAACAGAAACGATATCGGTCGGCCAGTCAGTCTGGTCTAGGTCTAGTGTAGTCTATAGATAGGTTAGGCCCATCGATTCAGGAATTTTGGCAGTTCATTTCTCGCAAAGCAGCGTTGGAGAAGCCAAGCAAGTTGGTGGCGGTGACGGTCGGCAGGCGGCAACCTGAGACCTCGCTGTTGACAGCAACCATAGTCGTCCCAGTCTGAGTCTGCCATAGCTGGGGCATCCTCAGCACATCTACCCTGGGGGTATCTGCGTCTGGCCAGGCTATATCGAGGCTCTACACTGTGTACTCGTGGGTGGTGGCAGCCATAGCTGCCTGTTCCTT